CGGGACGGGACGGGAGGTGCTGAGGGCCAGGAGGGGGCCAGGAGATGCCGAGGGCCGGGGTGGGGCAGGGGGTGCCGAGGGCCAGGAGGGGGCCGGATCGGGAGGGGGGCGGGGGGTGCCAAGGGCTGGCCCGGGAGGGGAGCCGGGCGGGAGATGCCGAGGGCCAGGAGGGGGGCGGGGAGGCATGTCGCCTTGCAGCGGCAGCCGTAGGCTGAGGGCTTGTCCTCTCCCTGCAGGGCCGGCTGCCCGTGAAGTGGATGGCGCCCGAAGCCCTATTTGACAGAGTGTACACGCACCAGAGCGACGTGTGAGTCCGGCTGCGCTGCCACGGGCTGGGCCTGGGGTGAGGGCGGCTGAGGGCATCGGGCCCCGAGGGCAGCCCCTGTGCACACACCAAGGTGTGGCGTGTGCCCCGCTCTCCGACTAACACAGGGCAGATTGGCACCCCCAGCACACTGTGCCTGGGCTCATGGCACTGCTTGGCCATGGCCCTGGTAATGGCGGTGCTCCAGTGATGCCCACAGTGCCTGGGCCTGATCCTTGCCCTGTTCCTAGGTGGTCCTTTGGGATTCTGATGTGGGAGATCTTCACGCTGGGGGGCTCCCCGTACCCTGGGATCCCGGTGGAAGAGCTCTTCAAGCTGCTGAAAGAAGGGCACCGCATGGACAAGCCTTCCAACTGCACCCATGAGCTGTGAGTACCCGCGCTGCCCCGGCATGCGGGGGAGGGGGGCACGGGTTCCTCTGGCTGACAGCTCTCTGCCCTGCCCTGCCTTGCCAGGTACATGCTGATGAGGGAGTGCTGGCATGCCGTCCCCTCCCAGCGCCCGACCTTCAAGCAGCTGGTGGAGGGGCTGGACAAGATCCTGGCAGCGGTCTCCGAGGAGGTGAGTTTGCAGAGCAGGCAGGCCCTGTGGCATGTGGCCCAGGAAGGCGGCCGGGGGGTTCCTGGTGTGTCTGGGCCTTGCCCTGTCTCTGGGAGGACGCCCCCTGCGACGCTGACGGCTCTTCCCTCCCGCAGTACCTGGACCTGTCTGTGCCCTTCGAGCAGTACTCCCCCTCCTGCGAGGACAGCACCAGCACCTGCTCCTCCGACGACTCCGTCTTCACCCACGACCCCCTGCCCATCAGCCCCTGCCTCTTCTCCTACCGCAGCGTGAGGACGTGAGGGGCTGCCCAGGGCGCCTTGGCTCTGGGGGGCTGGACAGCCTGGCAGCGGGGCTGGGAATGACGAGGCAGCTCTTGCCCTCCTCCCGCCGCAGGGCCCTGGAGACAGCTGAGCAGCAGGAGTGTCTCTGGGCCCCTGCCCCCGCCCCACCATCCCAGCCACGGGACCTGCTCCTTGTGAGGGGTTGTCCTCGGCTGGCCTGGGGACTCCGTGTGCCCCCCCCCACACCCTCCCCAGCCTCCTGCTGGCGTCTGCCCTCCAGGCAGTCAGGGCACCCTGGGCCTTCCCGCGCTGCCCGGCCCCCAAATGCGCTAGCTGGCCCCGAACCCGACGTCGCCCCGCAGGGCAGAGTGAACTCGTGTCAGCCCATGGGCATGGGCTCGGTGCCCAGAGGGGCTGCCTGGGGCCACCCGCAGGCCTTGCCCGGGAAACTCTGCTTGTTTTGTTTGATGTAATTTTTAATCATATTGTTGTGATACTGTACCAGTGGGAGCCAGGTCCCCCCCCCCCCCTCGCCCACTGGGAGCGCCCTGCCCAGGGCCGGCCAGCCGCCCCCCCACATCCCACCTAGCCCTGTACATAGCCAGAGAGAGGAATATTTATGTACATAGCATCTCTAATGCACATGAAATATCGCCTTGATAAATTATTTTTGGAATAGAGCCTCTTGCTGGAGGTTTCTTGGCTGCCTCCGGGGAGGGGTGGGGGCTGCTGCTCCATGCACCGAGCCCAGGTGTCGGGCCAAGCACGGACCCTTCCCACGGTGAACTGGGGCTTGGAGCCGTGTCCCGAGCCCCCTCCTTCCTCGCCCTGTGCTGCTTCTGCAGTGTTATGAGCGTTTCTGCCAGACCCTCAGCATGGGCTTCCATGTCCAGCCGGCATCCTACGCCCTGGGCAGGCGTGGAGCCCTCCCCTGCCGGGTCTCCCCCTTGGCATGGATCCCCCCCCCCACCTCACCCTCGCTGCAGGTTCCTGCTTCTGCCTGTGGGGCCTCCAAAGCAAGCGCCTGGCTCCTTTGGCCTGGGCACCGTCTCTGGGGCCGGGGACTCATCCTGGCTAATCGGCCCCGGGCCCTGCTCTCATCCTTGGCTTGTCTGAAAGCGGGCTCAGCCCCTGGGGCTTATCCCCACCGGAGCCGGGGGAGGGGGGGCAGAGTCTGCCCCTTCCCGGCACTGCCCCTCTGGTCCACAGCAATCACAGGCGGCAGCTGGTGCCTCTAACGGCCACAGAGGAGCTGGGCTGGGGGTGGTGAGCCAAGCAGCAGGCCGGGGCCGTGGCTAATTCATAGCAAAACCCAACTGCTTTGAGGCTGCTGTAAATGCTGCCTGGGGCTGGGGGTTGCCTTGCTCAGTGGGGTGGGGGAGGCACACCCCTCCCCCCGTGACACCACTGGGAAATCTGCGGCTGGGAGGGACAGAAACCTTCACCCTCAGCAGCTGCGGCGTGGCCCTGGGGGCCGGGGCACAGATCCTAGGGGGCTGGCTGGGCTGCGGCGGGACGGGAGGCCAAAGGCTCCCTGGTCAGAGGTGGCCAGTTCTGCCCCCTGGAGAGCCTGGCTCCTGGGAGCCCCTTTGGCTCAGTGGGCCCTGGCTGACTCCAGGGCAGAGCGACAGTGGGCGCTGCCAGCTCCCCCGGTGCCAGAACTGCTGCCTGGGGTGGGCGTGCTGCAGCCAGCAGTCTGAGAGCAGTATGGTCCCGCAGGGGGGCAGAGCGTCCTGCCCAGACAGGGACTGGCCGAGCCCTGGGGTGCATAAAGGCAGGCAGGCCCCTGGGCCTAGCACGGCCCCAAACACTCGTGGTTTGGTGGTTGCTGTGGCTCCTGTGGGCTTAAATCCCAGGAGAGCGCAGCAGAGTGGGCAGGACCGCAGGGGAGCCCCAGCTTCGCAGGAGGGGCAGGGCCGGTGCTCCTGGCCCACGGGCTGTGATGGAAGGAGCTCCTGCTGGTGGGGTGCCCTCTCCTGCCGCTGGCTGTCACCTTCCAGGGCGCGAATCGCTGTACGCCCAGAGCCATGGCTACCATGGGCCGGGTGACTCTGCTGTGAGCCTGACGCTGGGCCAAGGGGCTCTGGGTGCCATCTGCATTCGGATGCGCTTGCTGGCTCCAAGCGTGCCCGTGTGCACCTGTGTCCCTGTGCGTGGCAGGGGGCAGGGGTGGCCCGGGGCCCGCCCACGCACAAAGAGCTGCTGCATCTGTTCTGCCTTAGCTGCTGTTCCATTAAGCCACCGTGACCTCCGCTACCAGCGTCCCCCTGAAACTGATCCAGCAGCTGCCACTTGCTCCCAGGCTGGGAAAAAATGTCCGGGCTGAGCACCGCAGCCTGGAGTGTCTCTGCTCCTCCCCTCCCCACCTGGCCGGCCCCCAGTTATGGGGCTCTGAGCTGCCTTCCTGTACCCCCGCCACAGCCCCGTGGGGGGCGGAACGTGCTGCTGGGGGGGGGGGGTGGGGCAGCTCTGAGGGCGAATTCCAGCTCGGCCTGTCTCACGCTGGCTCCTTGTAAGGCCTGGTTCCCTCCCCCCAGCTCAGCCCAGAGCCGGGCACCCAGCAGCGGGGGGGCTGCAGCTGTCCCTTGCCCCGAGCCCTGCTGCGCTGTGGGTTTAGGTTTCACCGGAGTCCCCAGGGCCTTGCCTCTCCTCCGCTCCGGCAGGATTGGGTTTCGCTGGGCCGTTCGCCTCAGGATCCTCTTTCATCCTCCCAGCCCCAGCTGCGGCTGCAGCCTGCCCTTTCCCTCGGGGTGGGGACAGCCCCCCCCCCAGACAGGCTAGGGGATGGGGGTTGGCTTCGGGCACACTGTGCTGCCAGCCTGGGCAAGCACTGGCCCCTCGGCCAGCTCAGCCCTGCAGGCCGCTGCCTGTTCATACGCAACTGTCACTAATTCCCCACGGGCCTTGCTGGAAGCAGCCTGCAAGCAGGGCTGCTGGGAGAACAGGGACCTCTGCTGTGCCCGGGCTGCCCCACTGCTGGGGGGCGGGGGGCAGAGCCTGCTGCTTCAGCTACCTGATTCCAGCTTGTGCAGCTCCCCCCCCCCCCCCCCCCGATTATACAGCAAATGGGCATCACAGCGGCCCGAGGATCCTCAGCCCCAGGCTGCCCGGGGCTGTATAACACCGAGCAGCCGAGCCCTGCCCCTCATTCGCACAGCCCCAGCCGGCCCCATGCACGTGAGGCCAGTGCCCGTGAGAGTTCAAGGCGGGGGAGGATGGACCCCATGTCCTCGTGGCCAGCTGCCCTGGGGTTGTGGGGACAGGCGCTGGGGCCGCGTTGTGTCCCCAGCCCTGGGGGGGCAGGGGGGACAGGTGAGGCTCCTTGCTGCAGGTGAGGGGCTGGGGAGTGCCCAGGCAGGTGTGAAGTGGGGCAGCCCCACGCCTCGCCAGACGCTCGCCCAGCACTACAGGACGTGGCGCTAATTCCGCTCCCTCGTGGGACGGGGGCAAAGGGGTGCTTGGCACAGCTAGGGGCGAGCTCTCGGTGCAGTGCTGCTAACCCAGCGCCTCCTGCCGGTGCTGGGGGCTGCTCCGTTCTCTTAACTCGCCTCCTGCCTCGTCGTCACCCCCCAGCCTGGGCAGGACGCTGGCAGCCGGGTCTCCCCGCGAGCAGAGCTTGGCGCACTAGGGCTGCAGGTGGGCCCAGGGGGTGGTGTCACCAGCTGCTCCTCGAACCCCTCACGGCTTCCAGGATTTGCCACCTGTGCTGCGATTGGTCTCCCCTGTGGCATGGTATCGCCGCTCCCTGGCGGGGAGTGCCCAGTCCACAGCCGACCAGCCCATGCGCCAGCCCTTTGTCCCGCCTATCTCTTCTCTGTGTGCCCTGCCAGGGACCTTGGGCTTCACGCATGGCCACTGCTGGTGGCTGCCCAGATACAACCCCACCTCCGTGTCTGCTGCTGGGCCCAGCGGGCTGGGTGCTGGTAGTGGGTTGAACTGGGTGCAGGTGGCTGGCACTGGGCTGGGTGTGGGTGGTTGGTGGCGGGCCAGACTGGGTACGGGAGGTTGGCGGGCCGGGCGTGGGTGGTTGGGGCTGGGTGCGGGTTGCTGGTGGCGGGCAGGCTGGGTGCTGGTGGTTGGTGGCAGGCAGGGCTGAAAGCGGGGGGTTGGCGGGCAGGCCGGGTGCAGGTGGTTGGTGGCGGGCAGAGCCAGGTGGGCCGGGCATAGGTGGTTGGTGGCAGGCAGGGCCAGGCACGGGAGGTTGGTGACGGGCAGGGCTGGGCGTGGGTGGTTGGCAGGCAGGCTGGGTACAAGTGGTTGGTGGCAGGCAGGGCCAGGCATGGGAGGTTGGTGGCGGGCAGGGCCGGGCATGGGTGGTTGGGGCTGGGCCAAGCACGGGAGATTTGGGCTGGGTACGGGACCCTACGCTGCCGCCCTCCCCCCCCCCCCCCCCCCCCAAAAGCACCAGGGCCTCTGGCCACTGACACGCTGCAGCTTGGCGGGACTCGTCTAGCCCATCACCTTCTCCCCGCTGGGGAGGCCCCCCCCCAACCCCTGCTCATGGGCCCCTCCCCACGCCATGGCAAAAGGCAGACAGACCACGAGCAGGTGTGAAACCTGCTCTGTCCCCGCGTCTGTACCACGCAGAAGAAACCCAGCTGTCTGCTAATGTGCAGAACCGATGCATTGGTCACAGCCCGTGAATGGGGGCATTCAGCCAGGCACCAGGGCCCACTGCCCAGGCAGCCAGCAGGGGCTTTCTCGTCCCACTCTGCACAGCTCCGGCCGGCGAGGGGGGAGGGGGTTTAGCTCTCAGGGCACAGGAAACTCTAATCAAAGCTGGGGGGGGGGGCAGCATCTCAGCGTCTGGGCCGCATTCGCCCCCTGCACCGCCAGCTCCTTTGGCTACACCCAGCTCAGCCCGCTTCCTTCCCCCAAGGCCTGCAGCACGCTCAGCCACCCCACAAGGCGGGCCTGTCCCTGCCCGCCGGGGAGCTGGGGCTCGCGGGAAGGGGAAGGATGTGGTTTCAGAAATGCCCCGCTTCAGGTGCCCGGCTTGGTCTGTGCTGTGCTGCTCCCCAGTCGC